TTGTATACACTATTGTCCACCAGTTAATCATTGCTAGTCTCGCAGTGCCAGAAGGTTAGTTACCAGAAATACAAAGAGTCTCTATTATGAAACGTGTATGATGGTTGCTAGGCAAATGGAAGATGGGAAAGTTCTAAAATGCTAGGAGAATGCCTGCATCAGTGGATCTTCATGCTCGGGCATGCTTATGTTCTGGGGAAATGGCATCCCAATACATCTAGTCTAGGCTATTTTCTTAGTGCAGGTGAATGGGAAAGGCTGCTGCCTGCAGAAACTTTTTTTTTTTTTTTTTTTTTTTTTTTTTTTTTTTTTTGAGGACCCATGAGGACAAATCTTGCCTTTTCATTCTGCGGGTGAGAGAACTCTTGGTTCTGAGAGAGTCTTTGCCAAGCAGTGGCCGTGCTGAGCAGGAATAATTTGGATGCAGCCTCAAATAAAGCAATCAAAAAGGAAATTCCTCTGAAAGTCTCACTGGTATTTAATATTTTATTCATCCCCATGTTATTGTGCTTCGCCTGCGGTGAAACAGCCTCAAAACAGCCTCCTAGGAGTGAGGCATTAGGAGGCTGACAAGCGTTTTCCCATGAATCGCTACTACAATACAATGGCATTTTGTTTGCTGTTTTGTTTCCTTGTCTTCTAACATTCTTTCTGACTTTCAAGGAAAAAAAGAAGAAGAAGAAAAAGAAACCCTCTTATGAATGGCAAGAAAAGTTTCTTTTAAACTTTCAACCTTTTTCACTTGGAACTGGGTAGCATGTAAACATTTTTTTTTTCCTTTCTCATGGTATATATGCTGGTAGTCTCTTCCCTCTTTTGTGCTTTAAATGACCTCTTTTTCTCCCCCTTTTACTACATAACATTGCCTTTCCATTATTGATTCAGAAAATCAGCAGGGGAAAAAAAAATCAACCGTGTACACATATTAAGAAAGAAAAGTCAGAGGAAGATGGATCAACCATCCATCTATCCATGTGGCCATTTATCTATCAATCCATCTCCCCTACCCACCCGCCTCTATTAAAATAAATAGCAGGCCCTGTACACACGGCTGGTTGGCTGAAGTTGTGATCTGGACAAAAGGTCTGTTTGGGAAAAGGATGCTGAGGCTCTAATGCTATTTGTGCCGGTTGAAAATCAGGAGGGGTTTTTCTACACTTCACTTTTATTAGATTATTTCTTATAGATGGCTTCTTTTTTCCTCCCAGACGCGTGGTGGAGGCTGCTGAAGCAGTTGGTCTATAGTTGGAATAATTAAATTAACCATTTGGTACAACTTTTAGGGGAGAGCTCGCGTGTAGAAAGCACAGCCCGAACAAAACAGGGCGCTGGGGCTGGGCTCTGGCCTGGCCCCATGGGCCTTTCATCTCTGGAGCAGAAGCAAGACCCCCAGCCACAAAAGACTGGCCAAGGGAACAACGAGGCCAGGGACGGTGGGGGTGGGGGGCTGGGACTGGGGAGAGGGACGGTGACACCGAACAAAATAAACCTACAAGGCCTACAAAGGGAGAGGGGCGGGGGGAAGAGATGGGGGAAAATGAAGTCAAGCGCCTTTGCTCATCCGGCTGTGGTCCCAGAGTTGCGAGGTCTCCTGGTACAAAGAGAAGAAGGCGCAGGATCAGCGGGGGGCCGGGCACCAGGGGGCGCCGGGGAGAGACCAGGGCGCTGCCAGCACCTGGGAGAGGGCTGGCACCGGATCCCCAGGAGGCGGGGAATCCAGCGGTGGGAGCCCGGAGTGCAAGGCGGGGAGAGGAAACCCAGGTGGGGAGCGAGGTGCTGCAGGGAGCACGAGGTGGTGCCCAGTACAGGCCTCGGCCCTGCCTGCCCCTCGCCCACTCTCCCTGGCACCTTTCCCCACCCCAACCCGCTTATGCTTCCCTTTCCCTCTCCCCCTAGCTCCCCTTACCTCCACCCTGCCCCCAGACCTCGCCTGACCCCCTTTCCCCTCCCCCATCACCACCTTGCAGGCTTCTTCTGGGGCCAATTTCAAACGCCAGGACAGCACTGCACTCCCCTCCCCAAAGGAACTGCCTCCCGCAGGGACTAAATCCCAAAGTTCAACACCATCCAAAGCTGCCCAACTAAACCTGGCTCCTCCCAGCGCCCACACACCCAGGCTCCACGCCCACCCCCCTCAGTGGCTTCAGGGTGCCCTGGGTGGACCCGCCTGGCCCCGGGCTCTCTCTGGGGTAGGACCCCTGCGATGCGGAGCGGGGGGGGGGGGGGGGGCGAGGGGGTAGGGGATGCAGCGTCCTGAGCTGAGGGCGCGCGGAGACACCTGTCAGGGTGCACCCAGGAGTGGGTGCCAGGAGGGGTGTGGGCCTGGTTCTTGCCAAGCGACCTTGAAGCCAAAATCCACATTCCCTCCCAGACACCCATTCTATCCTATTCTCTCCTATTCTACAGAGAAAAGCGCGCTAGACGATCACAGAAACGGGGTGGGGGAGTTGAGCGGCCTAGGGGGTTCCCATTCGGGCCGGTCCCCAAATCCACATCCTCCAGGTCAGACCTGGGTGGGGGGGGCGGCAGGGTCGCATGGGACAGACTGGAAAGCACACGCCCACCCCCAAGTTCGAGGGAATTCCAAAAAACTTGGACGATCTCCATCTCAGCCCGGTGCTGGACAACCTGCGCCCCCTCCCCGACGGCGGGGGCAGGACAGGTCCTGGCGGGGAAATTCCGGGAGGAGCAGCTTCCACAGGGGCCCCGGCCACCGCCTGGGCCCCAAAGCAGTTTCATATTCATGAGCGCGATAAAGAAAGACAGATCCCCACTGTACACCACTTGGATTCGCATCCGTCTTTGCGCTGGCCTCTCGGTTTTAGGAGACCACCGAAGACAGATGTTTGCATCTCTTTTCTCCTCTTGTCTGGTGCCACAAAGAAAAACCATTTAGAGCATTGCAATTTGTTTCCCGCCGCCGCCGTAAAACCTTGTGTGTGCATTCATTTTCATTTCAAAAAAAAGTGCACACTGGTCACCAAGGGCCCTTCTTTATCAAATACGCATTGTACAACATGCAACTGCCATAAAACTATCAGCCCTCCCCATAAAACGATCAGCAGGTTCCTCGGCTGCTGCCGCCGCCCGCACTCCGCGCCAGCAGCGCTTCCTCACGTCCAGGGGGGACGCCCCGTCCCCTGAAGCCAGCCTGAGACTCACCCAGCGGAGCGGCGCGGGGTTTGGGGGGGCCGGGTGCCTCGGCTTCATCCATTACGATGGGCGTCCGCTGCAGTTTAGCGCGCAATAAAGCACGGTGGCAGCGAAGAGCCGGCCTCCCGTCCACTCCCCGGCGCTAGCATCGAATTAAACCACTTAGTTTGGCAACCACGGAACAGCCTAAATGCCCCTGTAAAGACTTTATGAGTTTGTTACTTTAATTACTGACTTGTTACAGAGCCCATAAAGGGGGTAATGAATGCAATAAAACTAATTATCTGCACATTTAATTCATATAAAATATCCAGGGTTTGTTTACACCGCACCACGGAGGCGATTCCGCTAAGCCATCCCCCCCCCCCCCCTTGTCCACTGAGAGAGGAAGGATTTAATGAAATAGTTTCCCTTTATTCTGCTGGAGCCTTAACAAACCAAATGAAAATTACCCTCCGCTTAAATCATGGGGCCACCGAGGTCCACACATCACCGTGTGTGCTTCTTTGTCTGGGTGCCTTCCCCGCCCCGCCTGCACCCCAAGAGCCAGAGGAATTGGACAAGAGAAAACGCCCCACCTAGAACCTGGGCATTCAAAGAGTAAGGGTTCTCTCATTGCCTTCAGGGACCCTCAAAGGGGGTGGGGGTGTGGTGGTGGTGGTGGTGGGGCTCTGCAGGCACCTAAACCAGGGGAGGTGGGGGAAAAAAGAGGGAGAGCATCCTAAAAGGGTGGGAGAGACACGTTTGGGGATATTTGTAAGTTCACTTGCTAGTTGGGGCGTAATTAAAACGAACGACCGCTAGGAACCCGCAAACCAACAACAACAAAACCGCTAACCTCACGCTAAGGCGGAAAGACAGAACTGAGCGCCAACAAGCCTTCGCTTGAGAATTCGGCCGGTGCACATTCAAGACCATTGTTCCTTTTATTTTCTTAAACCACTGTGTGAGCTGCGTCTCTAGAAAAAGCACATGAAGCTGCAACAAGAAATGCGATTTATAAGATGCTCTCTCTCTCTCTCTCTCTCTTTTTTAAAGCCCTCTCTACCAGGTGTATCTTAAAGAAATCCGCTTATCGTCCACATAAACCCCCTCGGCTCACTTACTCCACGTTACAGGGCGCCTGAGTCTCGCCAATGTCCCAGTCCTTTATAGCATTTCATGCACTTCGGGGGGTAGGCTTGTTGTTAAATTGAGCGTGTAACGCTCTTACAAAACAGGTTTTCTATGACATCAAGGTTTCTTTTTCCTAACCGAGGGGGTGGGTGGGGGGGAAGAGGACGAAGAAGGGGGAAAACACACACACACCATCTCCCTCTATGCCTAAGGTATATGATCAGTTAAAAAGGCTTAAAAGCTCGGGGAAATTGGATCAGGGAGAATCGTCACCCAACTTTCATTATTTCCAAGTAGCGTGATTGAATTAAAGGGCAGGGAGCTGGTTAGAAGGGAGGATCAGGGGCTCGGTGCGTAATGGTGTGGTATTAAATTCTAATTAGAGATGCAGGAATCAATGATAGGGAGGTTGGACAGCTCAGTTCCCCAGTGCCAGCCCAATAGACGGATGAGTTATTGTCATGTAAAAAGCGCCAGCAATAAGACCAACCGCTTTGCTATTGTCCAAGTGGAAAGAGCCAAGTTTATTATGAGGACTATATGCTCTAGAGACCTCAGACAAGGCATCTCACAGGAGGCTTTTTCATAAAACTAGGCTCTGCTGGTAGTAAGGAGGCCAGTTTGGAGGCAGGCGTTGAGCTGTGCACATCTCCCCACTCCAGCCACCTCCTCCAGACCCATCTTTTTATTTCGTTTTTTTCCACTTGGCTGAGCCATCCAGAGCCTTTTCAATGTATAAAATGGAATATTCTTACCTCAATTCCTCTGCCTACGAGTCCTGTATGGCTGGCATGGACACCTCCAGCCTGGCTTCAGCCTATGCAGACTTCAGTTCCTGCAGCCAGGCCAGTGGCTTCCAGTATAACCCGATCAGGACCACTTTTGGGGCCACGTCCGGCTGCCCGTCCCTCACGCCGGGATCCTGCAGCCTCGGCACCCTCAGGGACCACCAGAGCAGTCCGTACGCCGCAGGTAAGGACCGCGGGCTTCCTCGCCGAGGAAGCCGCCTTTCCGCTCGTATATAGGAAGCCTTGATTGCATTTGAAAATGGAAATGTGTTTAGTATTTACCAAACGAAATTTGCTTACACAAATGAAAGAATTTATCACGTTAGAAGCGATTGCAGGGAGGGGGTAATTCACTTACAGGGTTACACTATCCTAGTCACACCCGAACCGCCAACAAAATTATCTTAAGCTGCCAAAATGATAGGCATAATTTATTTACTTTGCGATGAGACGTAAAGCTTAGAAAATAATTAAATAACAAAGAGTAAAGCTCATTACTGGCAGTCTCTCTCTCTCTCTCTCTCTTTTTTTTAAGAACCGGCAGCGGGATCACACCTCTTTGGCTGGTCATTTGAAGGATTGCTTTTTTTTAATTTTATTTTTATTTTTTTATTTATGATTGTTATTTTGCAGCACGTTTCCCCTCAACTTTTTGGGGGCTGGGGCAACTCCTGAGAACTGAAAAGTTCCAACCGTGAGAGTGTTTGGTAACTTCTTCCCTGGCTCCTTGATATATTCCGATGGAAGTTTTTGGACTTTTTTTTTTTCCTTCTCTCATTCCTTCCCCTCACCAAAGCATTCTCCCGCCCTGGCTCTCAGGGGTCTCTGGTGCTGTCTGTTAACCCACCCAGAGGCGCTTGTGCCGGGAGGGACCTCGCCAAACCCTGAAGTTTGCGCTAGTTTCTGTATGTAACGGATCTTTATCTGCAGCTCCTCTTCTCCGCCACCCTCTCTGTTTGTCGGTAGCGGCCCCGGAACACCTGTCCTGGAAATCCTCACATTCCGGCTCCATGGCCAAGCCCGTTTTGCCCACGCCCTGTCCTCTCTCTTGTCTCCAGTTCCTTACAAACTCTTCACCGATCACGGCGGCCTCAACGAGAAGCGCAAGCAGCGGCGCATCCGCACCACGTTCACGAGCGCGCAGCTCAAGGAGCTGGAGAGGGTCTTCGCCGAGACGCACTACCCGGACATCTACACCCGCGAGGAGCTGGCCCTGAAGATCGACCTCACAGAGGCGCGGGTCCAGGTACGAGCCCCTGAAAATTACCCGGCTGGGGCGTCCGGGGGTTGCCGTGGGCGAGAGAGCGGGTGGTGCTACCGAAGGTTCGGAAGCCCAGGGCCCCGTGGCTCAGGGCTGAACAGAGAGGCCAGGTTTGGAGGGCTGGGCGCAAATAAACCCTATTGGATGGAAGGACAAGCGGTCTTTGGGCTGGGCACATGCTCTAGTATAACACATGTATACAAAGTGTTTCCCACCCCAGCCAAGCGCTGCGGAGGCATCCAAGCGCCCTTTGGGGAGAGTGCAGACTCTGCCCGCATATTATAAACAGATATAAACAGATGTGTTTGCTAAACGCCTCCTACTCCACGCGCTTTTAACTTGGAGCTGTCGCATATGGGTGCATTTTCCCAGGGAACTAGGACTTGCATCAAGTTCGCAAAGGGGCTTCGACCCCAGGAAGGTCAAGAGCGGAGGCTGACTCTGACCTTTCAGGGCCAGGGCTCTCTCTCTCCAGGGGGCCCGGCGGCTGAGGGCAGGGCGCACCTGTGCCGCTTCTCCAGGCATCAGGGTGAGGATGCGAGGCTAGCGCCCAACCCAGAGACCGCTTCTCCTTCCGTCCATTAGGGTTTATTTCACTTAGAGTTGAGGCCTAGGGCAGATGGCGAGTTTGGAGTAACTCAAGAAATAAGACTGAACAAAGATGCCACAAAATAAGTTTTTGTTTTGTTTTTTAAAAATATATATATTTTTAACTGACTTTTTACAGAGAGAGGAAGAGAGAGTTAGAAACATCAATGAGAGAGAATCATCCATCAGGTACCTGCACACCTCCTACTAAGGATGTGCCTGCAACCAAGGTACATGCCCCTGGCAGGAATCGAAACCGGGACCCTTCAGTCCGCAGGCTGACGCTCTATCCGCTGAGCCAAACCGGTTTATGTCAAAGAAGGGTTTTTATTTTAGGGCCGTTCTGGGACTCGCCTTTTTTTTTTTTTTTTTTTTAATTTTCTGTATGTAAAGGATTCCTTGGCATGTTCACGTCACCTTGAGAACATTTCTTGGAAGATGCACCAGCAACGAGGGGGTGGGAGCAGGCGCGGGGGACCGGGTGCGCATGGGGGTACCCAGGGGCGCGGAGATGATTAAAAACGAACTAAAATGGGAATGGGCTGTGAACCGTCCTAACTGGCGCTTTTCTTCCCCGCCGGTTCCTCTCTCCCCCGCTTCTCCGCTCCCCGTCCTCCCGGGCAGGTGTGGTTCCAGAACCGCCGCGCCAAGTTCCGCAAGCAGGAGCGCGCGGCGGCGGCGGCGGCGGCCGCGGCCAAGAACGGCTCGTCGGGGAAGAAGTCCGACTCCGCCCGGGACGACGAGAGCAAGGAGGCCAAGAGCACCGACCCGGACAGCACCGGCGGCCCGGGCCCCAACCCCAACCCCGCGCCCAGCTGCGGGGCGAGCGGCGGCGGCGGCGGCGGGCCCAGCCCGGCGGGCGGCCCGGGGGCGGCGGGGCCGGGGGGCCCGGGAGGCGAACCCGGCAAGGCCGGCCCCGCGGCGGCGGCGGCGGCGGCGGCAGCGGCGGCGGCAGCGGCGGCGGCGGCGGCGGCGGCCGGGGGCCTGGCTGCGGCCGGGGGCCCCGGACAAGGCTGGGCTCCCGGGCCCGGCCCCATCACCTCCATCCCGGATTCGCTCGGGGGGCCCTTCGCCAGCGTCCTGTCTTCGCTTCAAAGACCCAACGGGGCCAAAGCCGCCTTGGTGAAGAGCAGCATGTTCTGATCTGGGCGGCCCAGTGGCGGCGGCGGGCGGGAGGGGGGCCGGGCGGGCGGTCGAACGGGCGGGCGGACCAGCGGGGAAGCCCAAGGCCATGGTCGCCGCTGCTGCCCTGGCCTTTTCACGGAAAGCCTAAAGCGATCACGATAAGAATAAAGAGAAAACGGCGTCGCCCCCATTGCAACCCCACTCTGACCCCAACCCTGAACCCCCAACGAAACAAAACAAAACAAAACGAAACGAAACGAAAAAAGCAAAAACACTTTCTGGCTTCGCACCTGCCTGTGGACTGGAGGCGGGAGCGGTGCGGCCTGGGCTGGGGCCACTCTCAGGGGGCTGTGTCTGCGTGTCCTGTGTGTCTGTCTCCGGGAATGTGTCTCTGTGGCCCGGGCAGGTGACAGAAAGAGATGGATGGGGGCATAACCAATGCAGTGACTTGCTTAGAAAAAAGAGAAAAATAAACAAAACAAAACAAAAAAAAAACCCAAATTAAAAAAAAATTAAGAAGGCAGCAATCTTTTTTGTTTGTTTGTTTGTTTTAAAAAATTTTTTAAATCTAAGGGGAAACATGTAAAGGGGGAAAGAAGGGAGGCTGCAGCAAGCACTGTCTGAAGGCTCTGTCTTGTGAACCCTAAATGGGCTCCCTCCGGATGGCAGAGACTTCCCATTGGGGTTCCTCCTCCTTAGGGGAGACTGGGGAGCCTTCCAGTCCCGCTTCCCCTCCTGCCCTCCGGTTCCTGTGAAGACTCCCGCAGACTGTCACCGAGGCCAAGGTGACTTCCTCTAGCCCGCCTGCCTGTCCCACCTGGCCGAGTACCACCCCGCCATGCCACGAGCGCTTCTGAGCGCTTCTGCAACTCCCATACCCCGAATCTTTGCAGCCACGCGGCCCCCCAAAAGATGCCCTGTACGTGAGATGTCTTTTCATCTGCAAACTGCAAAAACTGTGTCTCCTATTTCAAAAAACGCTTCCCCAGTTTTCTCTCCCTCCTGCCACCCCCGCTGGCATTTCCTTCTTCCACCAGCTTTTACTGAACTTCTCGGCACTGCTTTGGATTGGAGTCAATTGCAGTCCCTTGCAAACCGGCTACAGAGAAATCTCTACCTTAGCGAGGGAAAGGCGCGCACAGGAGTTGGCAGAAGTGTCTCGGTGTGCACTTCTGTCTGATCCGAAATGGACTCCCATCCTGGAGTGAATGAACTGTATATTGATGATTCCATTCTTCTCGCAGTTTAGACATCTCTGTTGAGGTTTCTCTCTTTTTGTTTTTGTTTTTATTTTTATTTTAAAAGGCACAAACTACTAGATAATTAGTTGAATGTTGAGGCTTTAACTTTTTGGGTGTCTTTCTATAACTGTGTTCTGTGATTCAAATTGTATCGTGTTACTATCAGTACAGACCGTCTCCTCTACGTGACCGTATAATGTTTTTCCTCTCTTCTTGTAGTCTCTATGGCGTGTCTTTACAGAGTACTAAGGTTCTCACGGGTTCAATTCCTTTGTATGTAGAGACCACGGTTCAGACAATGGTATATATTTTTGTTATCAGGTGCATGTCTGTCTGATTCTTTTTCCTTCTTGTTGGACCTTGTTTGTGAACATAAGCGTCATAAGTTATGTTTCAGATTTTCAGATTTATTTATATGTGTTATAATGAATGCTTCTATTTAAAAGGGAAATATTTCTACATGTGCATATAGTTTTCCAAGAGTGTACCATTAACTTGATTGTTGATAATAAAAACAAAAAGCAAGTCTAGCGATTGAATTACTCTGAATTATCCTCAATTTGTTTTTTTTATTTAATTTTTTTAAAATGATAAGTGAGAACAGAGGACATAATACAAAATCTCTAGAAGCCACAGTGGCTCTGGAAACCTAGGTTGGTTGGGGAGTGGAAATTCATGCAGCCAAATTCAGCCAGGATACAATTTAGTGCTGGGAAGGACAGGTAGGATTCTTCCGGTTGCGCCTTTCTGTTCTGAGTCAGGGAGCAAAAGAGAACACTAGGATGTTGATAAAAATGTTCAGATCAGTGCCTAGGCTGAGACCCCATGGATTCCAGGCAGTAAAGACAGGAACTGAACACCTGATTTTGAGAAGGACTCAACTGTGGATTGTGAGCTAAAGTGCTTTTAGGACCCCTAAGCCTGCTTAAGCCCAAAGACTGCCTGCAGCACCTGTGACACCTGAGGGTCTTTGCATGGACAGATGGATTGGGAAGGTATTGGGTGGAGAGTAACATTGATGTGTTGTGAGAAATAATATTGACAACACCTGAAATTATCAAGCTCGGGCATGTACCAAATTGAGCTTTCCATGCATTATCCCATCTGCTTCTCAAAACAACATCATGGCCGAAATCAGTTTGGCTCAGTGGATAGAGCGTCAGCCTGCAGACTGAAGGGTCCCAGGTTAGATTCCGGTCAGGGATATGTACCTTGGTTGTGGGTACATCCCTAATAGGAGGTGTGCAGGAGGCAGCTGATCCATGTTTCTAACTCTCTATCCCTCTCCCTTCTTCTCTGTAAAAATCAATAAAATATATTTAAAAAACAAACAACAACAACATCATGAAGCAGGGCAATTCCAATCATGTTCATTTTATTCAGATGAGGAAGCTGAGGCAACAGAGAGGCTAACTTGTTTAAGAGCCCTGGGCATGAAGGATGGGACAAGCCTTTGAACCCAGGAAATCTGATTCCAGAGCCTGTATATTAACTGCACCAGTGTTTCTGAAAGTGTGGTCAACAGCTCACATGGGAACTTGTTGGAAACAGGAATTCTTGGACCTTATTCTAGACTTACAATACCATGAACCCTGGGACGGGGCCCAGTAATTTGTTTTAACAAGCTCTATAAGGTGATATTGGAACCACTGAACTATATACTCTAAGAAACCCAGATAGGAAGGTTCCAGAATTGGGACTCCATTGGGAACAGGGGTGTGTATATTGGGGGGGTGGTGGTATGTGAAGGACAGTTTCTATGACTTCCTTTTGGAAGGAACGATCATCAGCACAGCTCCGAGATGAGATTCCATCTCCATCTTGGACTGTTTGGCAGGGCCACCTTCTTCAGGAGAAGCCCATGTGAACTTCAGGTACTTGACTTGGTACCCCTGTGGTTGGGGTAAGCAGGTGAGTCAGTTTCCTCCTCTGACTCTGATGGGAAGCCACACCCTGCCTCCTCTGGTCTGAGGATTAGCAGCTGACGTGGCTTGAATTTAACAGGGCTTCTCACTTCAATCATCTTCACTTTAAGCATCCCAATATGGCCTGCAGCAGATCATGAAGACTTCATTCAGAAATTTCAAACCTTTGGATCTAACATTTAATGATTTTTTTCTAAAGAACTTTTAAGTAGTCTTTAAAACAAAACCCAGCCAGTTCTAAATGGCTCAGTGGTTGAGCATCTACCTATGAAACAGGAGTTCACGGTTCGATTCCAGGTCAGGGCACATGCCTGGGTTGCAGGCTCAGTCCCCAATGTGGGGTGTGCAGGAGGCAGCTAATCAATGATACTCTCTCATCATTGATGTTTCTGTCTCCCTGTCCCTTTCTCTCTGAAATCAACAATATATGATATATGATATATATATTTATATATATAAATCTGTCTCGAAATGCCTCTCAGAACCCCCCCCCCTCAACATTCTATAATCAGTGGCATCAATTGTGCTGGTCTAAGATGCCAGCAGTCACAGATTCCATAGACCCCAGGCTTTCATTGGAAATATAACTTAGAAAAGTCTGGGAGAAAAAAAAAAGCAAGAATTTACTAGGTATTGATGAAAAGAGAATTCAAAGCCCAGGTAACCTACCCTGAGGCTTGGCTAGAGAAGAATGAGCCTTATGCAGTAGGGGCCACCACGTAAGCCTCTGAGAGCTGATGGGCTGGCCAGTGGGACAGGCATTCTGGAGAAGGCAAGACCAGGAGAGAGAAAGAAAATAAGTAGAGAGAAAGGAGGAAGGTAGAGAAAAAAGAGGAAAAACAAATAGCCAAAGAGACTCCAGTGAAGGCCCCAGAAATCCTTTGAGATGTGAACAAACTAAATGAGGATACTTAAACTCTCTTCTCCTGGCCTTGACCCAGAAATAATTCATCTCCAGGACAATGGGAACTCTGGGGACTGGTGAGGAAATTGTGCTCCCTACCCCTACCTGTCCCAGCTTTCCAGAGAATGGCATTTAAAAATCTCTGGAGGCACCCCACTTTGGCATTTCAATATCAACTTCTTTTTAATTTGGGCCACTTCTGCCTCTCCAACTGGTCAAAGAAGCAAAGCCGTTCCTTGGGAGGCAAGCTTTTGATCAAATGCAAAGGAATGTCCCTGTAATAGGATGGAGCCTCATGGCAGGACACTGTGTCTCTCAGGTTGTGTCATTTCCTTGGAGTCATGCACGGTGTGAACAAGCTCACTTTCACTTTTCCTCTCCCAAGGAATTTGCATTTTGGCTCATCAAGGCATCCTTTTTCCTGGCAACTCCAGGATCACATGTGACTTCACAAAAGCTGCAGGAGCGGATGCCAGATGGCCACCTCTGAGCCAAGTCTCCTTCAAGATGGCCAAGTAGAGGGGCCTGAGTGGTTTCTGAGGGGAACTGATAACCCCACAGGCAGTAGCTGTCTGTACCTCCCCCTGATGCCTCTCTTAGGAAGCCAGCTAGATAGAGAGGCCCCTCAATTCAGGGAAAAGATCTGAGTGACTTGGATGCTGAATAACTTAATCCCTCTTGATAAGCTTGATTCATCAACTGTAAATATGAATAATAATACAGACGTGTGGGGTTGTTGGGGGCATTAAATAGGATATACAACAAATATCTGACATAGCACGAAGTTTTCAGCAAATGTCAACTATTATGAATGCTACTATTACATCACTCCTAGATTCATTATCTCCCTTGTTCAAATCTTAGAAGATTAAAAGAGCCCTCAGCCCTGGCCAGGTGGCTCAGTTGGTTGGAGCATCATCCCCAAAAAGTTGCAGGATCAATTCTTAG